CTACAAGGGAGGTCTTTCAGGGCAAGCCGCGCTTTTTGGAAACGGTTTCTTGCATATTGTAGGGACGCATGTATGGACCACAAAACCATGTTTCGTTTTCGCTGAACGGTTTTAGTAGTACCAAAAAAGTGGTTCTGTCCCGAAGTATAATTTAATATAATTTAGGTTTTAGTAGTATCAAAAAAGTGGTGAATGATACCCTTGATGGTTCAATCCCCCGCGGCGACTAAATTTTGCAATCAAGGTTGGCGGCCACTTGTTGGCTTCAAAATGGTCCTGACGATGAATTTGACATCTGATTTTGACATTTAGCGCGATTTGGCACCAACCGTAGGCGCCAACCCAAATGCAAAATTTAGTCGCCACGGGGGATCGAACCATTAACAGTACCTTATGCTTCTTTTTTGGTACTGCTAAACCGTTCAGCGAAAATGAAACATGGTTTTGCGTTCCCTACATGCGTCCCTACAATATGCAAGAAACCGTTTTGAAAAAGCGTGGCTTGCCCTGAAAGACCCCCTTGTGAGTTCAAATATAGGATAGTCTCATATTTGCTGACTCAAGTGAACGTTACGCGCTGCGTCTCAGCTTAACGGCTCTATCCGCAGCTGAGTCCGACTGCAGGTAATCAGTCCGTGGGTGGGGAGCTCCGCGAGCCCTGCGGGTAAGAACTTGCTGGGGCCGTGCTGTTGTACCCTTCGCCATCGGAAGCGCCTCGTCAAGCACCCTAACGGGGGAGTGCCTCCTTTTTATAGGTATACATCTTCTTACTCTACCTCCAATCATCGTAGAATTCTCCTCGACAGGGCAAGAACGAGGAAGGGGAATGCTTACCTAGTGGAGAGACAGGCGGACCCCCTAACGGTGCGGACCAAAAAGCAATTCGCATCGAAGGATATGCCCCCAGCGATCTAGCATGGCCTTCCCCACGGCCATAGTGGCCCGGAATGCCAGTCTCATTCTTAGAAAACTCCCCAATACAGTGCCCCACGTCTTGCCCCAGTCGCCATCATGGCTACATTCTGAATGCGAAATCACTCAATGTTGAATATGCGCCCACTTCGTAACCGCCGTCCAAAACACCATATGTGTCGGTAAAAACTGTCAAAGGAACCCTTTCCTAGCGGCCACACCCTTCAAGTTTCAACTAGCAAACCTTCTATGTGTTGTAGTGGTATGTTGCGGGGCCTGCGCTTCGAAATTTTCCGAATCCGGTTAGTGGGACCATCGTTCGGGACTTCGGCTCGCTGGACCCCTGGTTACCATCCAGACGTATGGATGAGTTCATTTCACTCGCTCACTATTGAATATTTCGCTTTATATTTTTTTACTATTAATTATAGGTTAATTTCTGCAATGTAATGACGTAATTGGTGTCTAAGTGGAGTGGGGAGGACCACGTTTTGCGCGCGCGCTGTGCTCATTTTTGACGCTCTCTCTGCGGCAAGATAGATGTAAACTCGAATGCTGACCATCGGGGAATGCCGAGTCAGCGATTTCCCCAGGACGCAAAGATGCAAGCGAGCCAAGCGAGCGCCGCGTCGCCGCAAGGTCTCTAACCCACTTAACACCGATTAATTTTCTTTCTAATCTTTCAGTTTTAAATATTTTTTGATGGTCCTGATTATATATACTCGATATCCGATAGTTGGGGTAGGTGTGGCACCGGAAGTGACGTGCACTTGATAGAAGTTGCGTGGATAAGCTGTTGCCAGCATACATCGCTGGATATCAGCAAAGCATGCTGGACGACAGCTCGACCGCTAGAAACACAGTGTAAACGTTGCTAGACCCGAATGGAAAAGCTGAGCACAGGAATCAGAATTCCGTTCGGGACCAATGTTTGTGCTTTTGATGACTGGGTGTGCTCCAGTTCAATCAAAGACATCTTTATCGGCCATATATAACAGTTAAAGCTCTATATTCGGAAAACGTTAATGACTTATACGTTCTAAAAAACACATATAAATACCATCTTAATGGATCACCTTTTCTTTCTTCCTGCTTTCTTCTTACCCTTAGCCTTACTCATGCCACCTTTGACCCCTTTCGCGTTACCGCTTTTTCCCACCTTCTTCTTCTTACTAACGATGGGCTTCTTTTTCAATTCTTCACCTTTCTTCACCTGTTTTGATAATGCTTTGCTTCTTTTCTCCACTTCTGCATCACTTTTCGCTTTCTGAGTTCCACTTGTTTTTGGGGAAGGCGGCGGAGGACCCAACGATTTAGTCAGTCGGACTGGAGTTGGAGGTTGAGGGCTTTGAAGGACTTCTTTTGGCAGCTGTGGTGGCGGCGGTGGCTCTGCTTTGGCACTACCGACTTGCTTATCGTGACTGGCTTTGTTCGTTCTCTCTCTTTTCGCTGATTTCACCTTGATGAGCTGGTTGATGAGATCACCAAGAGAGCCAGCTTTGGCAGAGTCCTGCTTCTGTTGCAGCATATTGACCGCCACTGGTGACATAATCGACTTGTACTCGATCAGATCCGGTTGGGTTTCCTCCAGCTTTTGAAACGCTTCCCACATATCCTCGGGTTCTTTTTTCTTTACCTTTTGGTCGACTGTCGTCCTCTTCCTTTCTTTTCTCCGAAACAACTACAGGTTTCTTCTCCTCCTTCTCCGAGGCTTTACCAACCTTCACCTCATCGGCTTCAGCTTTTTTGCCCACAGCTATCTCCGCTATCTTCGTCTTTGTTGGTGTAGGGTGCTTGGGAGGCACCGTAAGCGCCACCGCGTCCACTTCGATATCACCGGCTTCCTTCCCACACTCGTCCCGCTATCTCTGGATTGTCTTCATCATCGGCCTGGGTTGGTTTTAGCTCCGGAAGGTCATCATCTATGCACGTCTGAAAACGATTTTTATTGAACTGAAGCGAAAAAAACTGCTGAAAACAGCGAAATACGGTCGTTACCATCAGTCGAAGTGAAGGTGCGGACTTTTCCTCTGGTGCCTGAAAAAGAAGAATTCTATTAACAAATTAACGAAATCCTTGCAAAGCGCCGTGCACGCGGCTTCCAGCAAGATCTCTTCAAATATCAGTGTTGTTGCGGATCGCTAGGTCAAGGAAAGAACCTGCGAGTGGCTTAGGGTGGAGAACCGGGTGTTCACTGCGGAATCTGGGTATTAGCATCCAATCTAAAGTCCCCGCCCGTCACCCACCACTTAAAGGATGGACTAACGGCCAAGAGGAGCAATAACCTACAAGTGTATGACTACCCTCAATAAAAACCGCTCATGGTCGGTTTCTTAGCCCGTTCTAAGGTGTCCGATTGAGGTTTGAAGAAAGTACGACCCGTTAACCACCCTCAAAATTGGCCTAGGAATAAACACAGGAACATTCAATACTAACGCCCTGCAGGCACTCAACACAGAACATTGGAGAGGAATCTGAACAACGAAAAGAAACACGGGCGGGTCGCGATGTCGGCTGTGTAATGCCAGACGCAAGTGCCCACTGCTCCGCCATAGTTAGCAATCAACGCTGAAGGTGCAGACTCATTCGATGGTTCTCGGGATTTCTCACAAGTCGGTTTTATAACCAGTACGTTAGCCGGAGTGTAGCGACTAGTTTGTAGGTCTGGAAGCGACGCGAGTGAGTGAGTTGAGTTCTGATCCCACCATCGGCTCAGAAGATACCGGCCTCGAAGAATGACGACCCGGGTGAAAATGCCAATTGCTTACAATTCTCCCCGTAATTCACACCTAAGGATTCATTCTAGAAGGGGAGGGACACGGGAGGCAGATATTCTGTATCGGTTCTCGCATAGTGTTGGTCCCCAAGCTCGCAGTTGTGAAAGGCTCTTTAAACAAGTATTAGCCTGCTCTGCTTGGAGGTTCTCTGACCCTGTCGCGAGGAAGTGCTAGCATTCTCTGGCCTCTTCGTACGTGGCATGGTTCTGCTATACTGGAGCCGAAAGTGCCGACGTAAGCAAACCAGCCCTTTTGGCGCTTCGGCTGGGACCGTGTACTGAATGTTGGGGAGGGGATGGAGTCTGCGACGGTAGACGGACCACTTTCAGCCGCGGGTCCGTTGAACCGCAGTCGATTGGTGCTTACCGGATCAGAACTAAGCCTTAAAGAGAGGACGGGTCCGTCCCCTCTCCAAGGCTTAGTCCTGGGGTGAGCAAACCAGACCTTCTGGCGGAGCTGCTGGACCAGCTGCACCACTTGCGTCAGTACTCTCCTATCGTACCAACCGAGTTGAAGTAAACCGTCGACCGTTGGGGACCCCATCCCCTCCCCAACATTCAGCATACGGTCCCAGCCGAAACGCCAAAAGGGCTGGCGGGGGGGCGTGGCCCTGATTTTGGCTTACCCGTTCGAAATGCTATCGTGACTTGCCTTGCGCGGAGGTTCCACGATGCTCTGAATTTTGGCACAATGTTTCACGGGGCGCCTTGTGCCGAATCGCTACGGGCTTTCCTCGTCTGAGCAGAATAACACAAGGGTTGGCTTTGAGCTAGTGCCGCCTACTCATCCATCTACTCAATGTGCCCGTGACCACGGCATATGGTTCCTTATAAGGATCTAAGACTGTTGGGCAGCCGACATCCTATAACTGGGAAAGCGACAGGAGACGTGCACGCGAATCTACCGTAGTTCCAGCGTATTTGTGAGCGTAGTTCTTGGCGCTGGCCGTAGTTCAACCTGCTACAGTAATCCTGTCTTCGCAGGCGAAAGAAGGAAGCTCGTGGGTTCTTACGAATATCGATTAGGTGAAAAGTGTATGGGGTATCCGAAGGAGGGCCATCTTTCTGCTCTTCACGGTCATAACGAATTTATCCTATTCACCTTTGGGACTGCTGACGAAGTTGTCGACGATTCTTCAGTGTCTGTTCCACCTTCTCCCTCCTTTCTCCGTCTGCCGCAACCGATCGAAGCATGAACGAGTACCAGGATTAGGAGAATGCAGATTACGTCAATCATCGAGGTGTTCCATCAATCTCGTTCACTTTACAGCGTTGCCAGCTATAGCAGTCGACCTGAAATTCAACATTTACCAGTTTTGCTCCGCCCGCTATCGCGCGCATCACAGGGTAGGGAGGAACCACGGAATAGCAGCATGACGTACTCCATTAACCACCTCACTATTGAATGTGTTATACCTCCTTATACCCCTTCTCTCCGGCGCATGGCAGCACCATGTTCCTCTCCCTTTCTCCTCTCTTCCTCCCCTATCTCCCTCTCCCCTTCTGTGACGTCAAAATGACGTCACAGCTGCAGCAGTCTCGAAAGAAGGGCAATTGGCTCAAATTGTGCTGCGTTCTGATAATATACCGACATGTTCAATAAGTTGTACCCTAATCGAAATGATCGTGTTATGTAGAGGTACCGTCCTCGCACAAAGAATTAGAATTTTGAAAATTTGGAGTAAGTGGAAGGGCCTTCGTGTGGAAATCCTGAAAAGTACGCAGTCAAGGCAAAGTTGACTAAACGAAGTCTG